AAAAAAGATTAACTGTAAAATAATCTCAAGCAGGTGCTTCAAGAGGCATTCCAAGCTGGCCATGGTGGCTCCTGCCACTTCAGAACTTTGGGAGGCTGAAGCAGGCGATCACCTGAGGTCAGGAGTTTGAGACCAGCCTGGCCAACATGGTAAAACCCCATTTCTACTAAAAATACAAAAATTAGCCAGACTCAGTGGTGTGTGCCTCTAGTCCCAGCTACTTGGGAGGCTGAGACACAAGAAGAGCTTGAACCCAGGAGGCAGAGGTTGCAGTGAGCTGAGATCGCGCCACTGCACTCCAGGTTGAGTGACAGAGTAAGACTCCATCGCAAAAAAAAAAAGAGGTATTCCAGAAACAGGTACTGTTATCACAGGAGAAGACAGCTCCATGAGTGGTACTGCTCCTGAAGACCTGCCAGTAGGACAGTATGTGGAGGTGAAAGACAGTGATATTGATGATCCTGACCCTATTTATGCCTAGGCTAATGTGTTTGTGTCTTAGTTTTTTTGTTTGTTTTTTGAGATGGTCTCAAAAAACTATAGTCCCAGCTACTCAGGAGGCTGAGGTGATCCTCCCACCTCAGTCAGCCTCCTGAATAGCTGGGACTATAGGCACCCACCACCATGCCCAGCTAATTTTTGTATGTTTTGTAGAGATGAGGTTTTGCCATATTGCCCAAGCTGGTTTGAACTCCTGGGCTCAAGCCATCCACCCCCCTCAGCCTCCTAAAATGCTGAGATTACAGATGTGAGCCACTATGCCCGGCCTGTCTTGGTCTTTAACAAAATAGTTTAAGACTGAAAAAAAATTTTTTTAGTATTGTAGGAAAAAGCTCACAGAATATGGATATAAGGAAAATATTATTAACTCAGGCATGATAGCATGTGCCTGTAACCCCAGCTGCTAGGGAGGCTGAGGTGGGAGGCTTGCTTGAGCCCAGGAGTTCAAGATCAGCATGGGGAACACAGCAAGATCCCATGTCAAAAACAAATTTTAAAAATATATTTTTGTACAGCTGTAAAGGGTTTGTGTTTTACACAAAGTATTATTACAAGTCAAAAATTTAAAAAAATAAAATGTAAAGTTAAAAAGCTGTATTAAGCTGAGGTTAATTATTGAAGAAAAATATCTTATAAATTTAGTATAGTCTAAATGTACAGTGTTTATGAAGTCCACAGTAGTTGTATAGTAATGTCCTAAGTCTTTACATTTACTCACCACTCACGCACTGACTAACCCCAGAACAATTCCTAGTCCTGCAACATACGTTCATGGTAAGTGCCCTATACAGGTGTACCAGTTTTTATCTTTCACACCCTATTTTTACTGTGCCTTTTCTATGTTTAGATACACAAGTATTTACTATTGTGTTACAGCTGCCTACAGTTTTTGGTACAGTAACACGCTGTACAGGTTTGTAGCCTAGGAACAACAGGATATACCATATAGCCTAGGTACGTAGCAGGCTAAACCGTCTAGGTTTACATAAGTACACGCTACAATGTTTGCACAAAAGTGCATTTCTCAGAATGTATTCCCATCATTAAGAGACGCATACCTGTAATTCTTCTATTTATTTTTCACTCTGAAAACTGTAGACCAGGTGCAGTGGCTCACACCTGTAATCCCAGCACTTTGGGAGGCCAAGGCAGGTGGGTCGCTTGAGCCCAGGTGTTCAAGACCAGCCTGGTCAACATAGCAAAACCCAGTCTCTACAAAAAAATACAAAGAAACTAGAGAGGTGTGCACCAGTAGTCCCAGCTACTGAGGAGGCTGAGGTGGGAGGGTCACTTGAACCCGGGAGGTTGGAGCTGCAGTGAGCTGTGACTGTACTACACTCCAGCCTGGGTTACAGAATGAGACCGTGTCTCAAAAAAAAAAAAAAAAAAACCTGAGTCCTTTGCTCCCTCTCATCAGCCTAGCCTGGCCCTGGTCTCAGAGCAGAGTTACCCAACACACTAAGCAGCTAGGAAATGCCATTCATTCATTCGTTCATGAAAGGAAAAGAGAAAACTGCATATATCTAGTATTCTGCAAAATTAGATACACATATCACCTGCTATATATGTGTAATATACACATATGACATTTAAAATGTGACTTATGTTCTATTTGTCTGGCATAACAGGTACTCGACATCAACTTTTCCAAGACAGAAAATACTTCAGAGGAGGAGAAATCTGAGCTGGGCCCTGAAGAATAAAGTGTAAATAGCAATAACAACAGGTAACATTTAGTGACATTCAATGAGCCAGGCATTGTGCTAAGTAATTGGATTGTCTCACGCATTCTCACATGTACTGTAGGAGATAATGGACTGTTACTAAACCCATTCTACAAAGACACCAAGGCACAGAGTGGTTAAGTCACTTTCCCCAAAATCACACAACTCTTAATTGGCAAAATTCAAACAAAAGCAAGCGACTCCAGGGCCCTGAGGAGGACGTGGGTGGGTGAATGAATGAATTAATAAATGGCATCTTCTAGCTGCTTAGTGTTTTCAGCAATTCTGCTCTGAGCCCAGGGCCAGACTAGATTGAGAAGAGGGGGAAAAGGACTCAGTTTAGGACTTTTAAGACGAAAGCCCTGTTCACATACTACAAGACACCAATTCGAGTAGGAATTAAAGTTCACTGACGGCTTGGGGACCTCTGACACCTGGTAGACCAGAAGCTTGACAGTCAAAGAAATGGAACCTGACGAGGGAGGACGGGATCAGTGACCTCTGGCCAGCAAGCACCCCAAGCATGACTGGATGGCAGGGCCGGCTTACACACAAGGATCAACTTAGAAGGAACTCTAATACTTGGTTTAAAGCTCTGCTCCCGACGACTTTAAATCCTTAATAACTTTTGAACAAGAAGCCACGTTTTCATCTTGTACTGGTCCTGCAAATTATGTAGCCAATCCTGCTACATGACAATCCCCCTCCCTTTAGCAGGTAGGAGACAGGTACTGAGGAAACAGCCACTTATCTCTCGAATATATTCCACACGTACGCACCAATCAAACTTGCCCACTTGATCTTCGTAGACCGCGGCCACAGAAATCAGCAGGGCAGCCCAAACCCAGGAATAAGAAGCCCACTCCGCCGCCATGATGCGAGCGTAGGCACCGCCCGCCGCCGTCCCGGCATGCACCGCGCCGCGGCTCCACCTCCGCGGGACCAAAGAGCTGGGATCTTGTACGAGGTCCTCGGTGGGACGCTCGGGGTTCGGGGGCCGCCTGGGTACGCAGGAAGTCGCCCTACAGGCGCAAGAGAAAGCGCAGGCGACGCCTCGGCAGTGAGAGGCGGGCTGCAGCGCATATTGGGTCAGGCACACGCGAGGGGCAGCCCCCCGAGGGCCGTCCCAGAGGCCCCCGCGCCGCCGGGGTCTTAACAGGGTGCACCGTCTTCCGCCGCACGTGGATTCAACGCGATGCCCAAATCCAAGCGCGACAAGAAAGGTGGGCGAAGGGAGCGTTGGGACTCTTAGGGGAACTCCGCGGGCTGGTTGCCCAGCCTGCGGTGGGGGCTTTGGGGAGGCGGAGACGCAGAATAGGACACCAGGAATGTCCTCGAGGTGTTCTGCTGCCTCGCTGCGAGCTGGAATGGGGGCTTCGGGGCTGTAGAACCGCCAGAGGGGGCTGACGCCTGGTCGTGTCCAGGGAGCCGAGACTCTTTTGCCTAGTTTCAAGTGCTCTTGCAAGGCCGACTGGGCCGGGAGACAACCCCTGAGCACCCCCCACTCGTTTCGGCCCACTTTTCCCAACCTCGGCCCTTTCTCAACTTCCTGCGTTCCCGCCGTCCTGGCTGCCTTTCCCCTTTCCCTTCTTCCAGCACAGGCTTGTTCGCGCTCTGGCGTTGTGTATCTGCGGTTGTTTCTGCCTGGCAGGCTTACCTCTTCGTATGGCTTGTTCTTCTTAGTTGTCAGCTAACAGGACCTCTCTGAGACAGGATCTCACTCTGTTGCCCAGGCTGGAGTGCGGTGGTGCGATCATAAGTCACTGGAGGCCGGGCACGGTGGCTTATGCCTGTAATCCCAGCACTTTGGTAGGCGAGGCGGGTGGATCATCTGAGGTCGGGAGTTCGAGACCAGCCTGGTCAATATGGTGAAATCCCATCTTTACTAAAAATACAAAAAATTAGCTGCGCGTAGTGGCGGGTGCCTGTAATCCCAGCAACTTGGGAGACTGAGGCGGGAGAATCGCTTGAACCCGGGAGGCGGAGGTTGCAATAAGCCAAAATCACACCACTGCATTCCAGCCTGGGCACGACAGAGCGAGACTCCCTCTCATAAATAAATAGATAACAAATTAAATAGATAGATAGACAGATAGATAGATAGATAAAATAAGCCCTTGCAGCCTCCGCCTCCTGGGCTTAAGTGATCCTCCCACCTCAGCCTCCCAAGTAGCTGAGACTGCAGGCGCACCCCACCACTCCCAGCTAATTTTTCGTATTTTTAGTAAAGATGGGGTTTCACCATATTGGCCAGGCTGGTCTCAAACCAGGTTTTTTTTGTTTTTGTAGAGATGACTCTCAGTGTGTTGCCAAGGCTGGTCTGGAACTCCTGGGCTCAAACGACCCTCCCGCCTCAGCCTCCCAAAGTGCTGGGAGTACAGGCGTGAGCCACTACCCCCGACTTGAGCACCTCTTAAGAGACCATCTTTGGCCACCTTTGCTGTGGTGGCATCTCTCTCCAATCCGCTCCCCAGCATATTCAAAAATATTTAGGGATCTGTCACTTTCTAGGCGTTGGAGGATACAGCAGTTACAACAAAGAAGGCCTAGTTCTCATCAACCTTAACGTTTTAGGGGAAACACATTCCACAAAATGCAAAAAATCAGATTGAGTAAACACGGGGTGAAGAGACGGTGATATTTTGTATAATGTGGTCAGGAAAGGTCTCACGGATGAGGTGACAAATGAGCAGAAAATCGAAGAAAGGAAGTGAGCAACCTTGGAATTGCGCACCGGTAGAAATACTTGGGAGAATGCTGTTCCAAGTAGAGGGAACGTGAAGTGAAGAGGCTCTGAAGTGGGAGCAGATTTGACATGTTTGGGACAAGAGGCCAGTGGGGCTGGACAGAAGGATCCAAACAGAGTTGCGGGAGAGGGTTAGGCAAAGAGGGCAGGACTTCCTCAGCCTTGGCAAGGCATTGGCTTTCCTCCCTAGAGTTCAAGCAGAAGATTCATGTGATTTACCTTTACTTGTAAAGGGTCACTCTGGTTGCCTTGGTGAGACTAGCTGGGGAAGACAGGTCAGAGGGCAGGGATGGAAGCAGTGAGGCCCATATTAATCCAAGAGAGGGCGATGCTGGCTTGGATCCAAGGTATAACAGTGGAAATGATGGGAAGTGGCCAGCTATATTTCTTTTGCCCTCCTTGCTGGTATGATTGTCCTTGTCCGTGTGGTGCCTTGTTAAGAGGGGCTGAGTGCCAGGCAGGCTAAAGAAGAGAGGCCGAGGCCCCTTTGTGAGGGCACCCTGGGCTTTGCAGTTGGAGTTCTTTTAAGTGATTCTGGAACAATTTGATTCTGTGCAGAGGGCCTGGGGCAGGTCTGGCAAATGCCAAACTTTCTGGATAGAGGGTAAATTGGGTCCCAGCCATTTTTACAATAGAGGTAACATGTTCCTCCCCAGAGAGGTGTTGCTGCATCTGTGAGTCTACACTGCAAAATTGGAGCGCAGATATGTAACAGGAGGTTGAGCCCCAGACTCGCTGTTTCACCGCATAGGCCAGCGAGAGTGGACGCTGCATCATGGTCGAGAGCAGAAAGGGGCTGGGTGCAGTGGCTGACACCTATGATTCCAACAGTATGGGAGGCTGAAGTAGGCAGATCTCTTGAGCCCAAGAGTTCGAGACCAACCCAGACCACATGGCAGAATTCATCTCTGCAAAAAATAGAAAAATCACTTGGGTATGGTGATGGATTTCTGTGGTCCCAGACAAAATTAGCAGACCATGATGGGGTGTGTCTGTAGTCCTAACTGTGTGGGAGGATTGCCTGAGCCCAGGAGGTCAAGGCTGCAGTGAGCCGAAATTATGCCACTGCACTCCAGCCTGGGTGACAGAGTGAGACCCCATATCAAAAAAAAAAAAAAAAAAGCCAAAAAAAACCAGAAAGAGGCCTGCCTCAACCGGCAGGTGAGGTCTGCCACCCAGAGCACTCCCAGCAGCAGGAACAACCTCCACCCCTCACACTGCAACCAAGTTATTTGGGTCAGCCTGAGGAGCTAAGAAAGGCCGAGTTTGTCTGAATAGCCAGATTTATATCCAGGGATCGTCAGGCCCAAAAATGCTAATGAGTAGGCATTCCATGGGCCCTGGAATGGTGGCTGTGTGTGCCAGAAGTGATGGCCGTGAAGGCCTTGCTGCCTTTTTCAGCATGGCTGCATCCAGCTGAAGTCTCCAGTGCATCTAGATGTGTCTCTCATCATCTCTCTCCTTGTTTTCATTAGTCTCCTTAACCAAAACTGCCAAGAAAGGCTTGGAATTGAAACAGAACCTGATAGAAGAGGTAAGAGGTGGTTCTTTTTCCAGAGCTTGAAATTGTTTGGTTTATAAGGGTAGGTATAGGACTGTTGGCCAGGAGAGCATACTAGTGGGGGAGGGGGGGGAATCTCCAAGCTGCTAATCCAGCCCTTTTTCCTCCAGCAGCAGCACCAGCAAAAACTTCCATAGTGATGGTTTACAGCTTTGATTAGTTCTTACTCTGTGCCCCGTCCTGCACTAAGTGTTTCAGATGTATTGTTCACTCCATCCTTGTAACATCCCTGTGATGTAGGTACTAGGTGATGATGTTGCTGTTTTGCATTTGGGGTCACTTAAGCTTAAAGAGGTTTGTTAGCCTGCCCAATGTCAAAAAAAAACAGGAGGAGGCCAGCCACAGTGGCTTACACCTGTAATCCCAGCACTTTGGGAGGCCAAGTGATCAGATAGCTTGAGTCAAGGAGTTCAAGACCAGCCTGGGCAACATGGCAAAACCTCATCTCTACAAAAAGAAAAGAGAGAAAAACTAGCTGGACTTGGTGGTACGCAGCCTGGGCAACAGAGTGAGGCCCTGTCTTTAAAAAAAAAAAAAACAAAAAAAACAAATTGCTGCGGGTAGGAGACCGCACCAACCCATTGTCTGTAGTGCGTCTGACCTGCCAACCTGGGCTGCAGGCTAGGTGAAAACTGTCCCCTCCTGCAGGCTTCACTCCTGGAGGCCACCTCATGGTGCTTTTGGCCAGCACTGCATGCAGAGCAGTACCAATGAGCTGCCTCCCCTTGTAACACTGAGGCTCCATGTGGCAGGAGCCTTGCTGGTGTGGGTAACAGCTGATCGTCAGTTCCACTGTTGGTCTTAGATAAGTCAGAGACCTGGGAAAGGCTGTGGGGTGTAGATCCATGGCTCAGCCTCCCCTGTAGTTGGCGATCCTAATTTCAGTAATGGAGGTGGGAGACAACCAAATGAGAGGCCTCCAGTTCTTCCAGTTTCCATAGTTATCTGGGGCCCAGAGCAGATTCATTCCCATCTGCGGTCAGAGTAGTGCCCATCGTATTCTGCCGCTTGAACTCAGAGCGTCGTGAATTGTCCCACAGCTTCGGAAATGTGTGGACACCTACAAGTACCTTTTCATCTTCTCTGTGGCCAACATGAGGAATAGCAAGCTGAAGGACATCCGGAACGCCTGGAAGCACAGCCGGTGAGCGGGCAGGGGGAGAAAGGCCCTTCTGAGTGGGGACACCAGGCTGCTCTCAGTCAAAGCACAGGAGCAACTTCTGACCCTTTAGGTGCCTGGGTCATGCCGCTGACACTTTGGTAAGGACAAAGTGCTACCTGCTACTGAAGGGCACTGATTTTTCACTGTTAAAGCTGGTCTTGGGCCGGGCGCAGTAGCTCACGCCTGTAATGCCAGCACTTTGGGAGGCTGAGGCAGGCAGATCACCTGAGCTCAGGAGATCGAGACCAGCCTGGCCAACATGGCAAAACCCCTTCTCTACTAAAAATACAAAAATTAGCCTGGTGTGGTGGCGGACGCCTGTAATCCCAATACTCGGGAGGCTGAGGCAGAAGAATCACTTGAACCCATGAGGCAGAGATTGCAGTGAGCTGCACCATTGCACTCCAGCCTGCGTGACAGCATGAGACTCAATCAAAAAAAAAAAAAAA